ATTGTATTGCTTGATGGTTGATCTGCTTTTAGTAGGAATAATTTGCTCGTCTACTGCAACATTTTCTTCCATTGGAATCAAACTCAATCTGTGTTGTATATTTTTCAGCACTGGGTTTATCTTGAACAACTTATCATGCCCTTCTGAACCCCGAGGTATAAAATTTTCATTGTTGCTAAAATGAATGAAACGTTTGATTTCTTCCCATTTGTTACAGGTCATTACAGAAGAGACCGCAGGATGGCCTAAATATGTACACCAGTAATGTCTTACTTGGGGCAAATGAATAACTGACATATACAAACAGATACCAATAAACTGTTCCATTTCATTTTCTGAAATATTTGCCGGTCGATCTGACGTTTCTGAGCGGAATATAAATTTGTTTGGGCAGTAATTTCAGATATCATTTCTTTTGTAAATAGAACCTTAAAAAACTGATACGGAGTTTCTAAATCAATAACTTCCTGTGGCATATTTTGAGCCCCCGAAAACTTTATCTCATCCGGATTTTTTGTAAGGTTTCCTGTCCTCCAGATGCCTGGATTTAGTTTTTCTGCCAGTTTCTTTAGAGGAATGTTTTCCTCGCTACTTATTAGTCTGTACTATTAGTCTGTATCTGTTTCAGGTATTATTATATCCTCACCTTGATCAATATCTTGAGGTTCATCGTCATCGTCACTTTCGGGAACTAGAACGCGCTCATCGTCTTCTTCTTCCGAAAGATCGGAATCGTCACTATCATTATCAACTGGTATGTCTCGAACATATCTGTTATTTCCATAAAATAGCTTTACATCCATCTAAAACCACCAAAAACTTAAATGCATAGTGTCCCATATATGACTCATAGTAATTATTCGATAGAGCTTGTAGTAAAATGAACGTAATGATATAAACTTACCTTCAGATGAAAGAGAAATGAATGCACTATNCAGACACATCCTATCTTGTGTAAGATCTTCAATAGAGAAGAAGGCGCTACAAGAAATTCAATGTTTAAGCTGTTGTTCGTAATAATCCACATATTTCTTCTCGCGTAATTTTTTATGACTCTGCTGTATCCCAACGCAGTGTACTTAGATTTTTACATTGCCATAAATTTCACCAGTACGCTGTTTGCATCAAGAGCTTCAGGAATGATATCCATTATTGGTTACTAGAAAATTGTTATTGGTTACGTGAAATGAATTACTAACGACGTTGGACAGTTACTATATTGTGTGGGATTATAGGTAACTTTTCAGTTGGTCCTTTCTTCGAAAAACATGCTTCTCAAAAACCATATACCCTTTATCGGCCCTTACACGATCAATACTATTGACAATGTCAGTATTGACAATACAACCATTAATCCTCGTGGTAACCAGTCTCAACACTTCACAACCTTACACGATCAACATTATTGTCAATAGTTTTGTCAATCAGTTTGCTCAATAAATTACCTTTTTACCACGTACAGGGTGAATCTACGTTGTTTTACACGGTTATTTGCCGGTTTTCCTTTCCAAATAAGGATAATCGTACAAAAGCTTGCGTAGCTATTATTTTGGGGCTTGGAACTACTCTTCGNATTGACAATGTCAGTATTGACAATGTCAGTATTGACAATGTCAGTATTGACAATGTCAGTATTGACAATGTCAGTATTGACAATGTCAGTATTGACAATGTCAGTATTGACAATGTCAGTATTGACAATGTCAGTATTGACAATGTCAGTATTGACAATACAACCATTAATCCTCGTGGTAACCAGTCTCAACACTTCACAACCTTACACGATTAACATTATTGTCAATAGTATTGTCAATCAGTTTGCTCAATAAGTTACCTTTTTACCACGTACAGGGGGAATCTACGTAGTTTTACACGGTTATTTGCCGGTTTTCCTTTCCAAATAAGGATAATCGTACAAAAGCTTGCGTAGCTATTATTTTGGGGCTTGGAACTACTCTTCGAGTGAAACGCAAACACTGGATGAAAGAATGGTTGAAGAAGAGAGATGAATATTCTTATCTAGTACTGTTGATAGAAATCAACCTCTGCGATGTTGATGATTTCAAGAACTACTTTTGAATGGGTGAAAGTTCCTTTAACAAACTGTTACAGATGGTTGAACCATTTTTGAAAAGACAATATGAGAGAACGTACAAGTGTTAGAGAAAGATTAGCCTTAACCCTGAGGTACTTGGCCACAGAAAGAAATTTTGAAGACTTGAAGTTTTCTGTTATAATGTCCCCAGTAACTATCAGCAAAGCTGTAACAGAAATCTGTCAAATCTTTATACAGGGTGTATCTGAATGACTGCAACAAACTTCAAGGGGTGATTCCTTAGTGAATTTTAAGGGTACTTTGATATATGAACCACGGGCGAGTTCGGCTCCCCTAAGAAGCTACACCCCTCCAAAAATGGCGGAAAATTTTGGTTTAACTTTTTTTTCTCAAAAACCATAAACGCTAGGAAAATGAAATTTGGGGAATATGTTTAACTCATAATAGGGCACGTTTTGACCCAATTTTGGTCTAGATTTTTCTTATGACGGTGATAAATACGGTGATTAGAAATATTTTATTTAGATATATGAAAATATTCTAAAACTTGTTTGCCTCTCTGATGTTCTTCGAAAAGTTAATAGTTTCTGAGAAAAAATTAATTAAGCGAACACTAACTGTTAAGCTGTAAGGTTGTTAATCGAAACATGGAATGAATATTTAATGAAAAAATCTTAGTAGGCTTTGCAATCTTTGTCAGAAATAGTTTTGACGTTTAAATATCAGTGGTTTTCTTACTATTATTATTGTTTTATTTAAAATTGTGAAACGTCGAGTGAACGAGCGTAAATGCGATAGAACTTTATTTGAAAAACAATGATAGTTGGTGGAGTCGAATTTTTTCCGCTCGAATCTTCTGTTGTTAACGTTCTTCTTTTACTCTTGCTTAAGCTCGATAAAGAATTTGGGTCA